CTGCAGAGGAAACCAGGCTTGTGGGCTGCGAGGGTACCCCACCCTCGGCCCCTGGGCTGGGTCTGTGGCACCTCACACACACACTCGTTCCCAGCTCTTCATCACAGTGATGGACAAACTGCGCCTGGAGATCCGTGCCATGGATGAGGTGTGGCTCCTGGTGGGGACAGAGGGATGGAAGGGTGGCTCGGAGGTGGAAGCAGCAATGGGGAGGGGAGGGCTCCTGGCGTAGGAAGCCCAGCATCCTGTCCACAGATCCAGCCTGACCTGCGGGAGCTGATGGAGACGATGCACCGCATGAGTCACCTGCCCCCTGACTTCGAGGGCCGCCAGACCGTCAGCCAGTGGTGAGTATCCCTGCCCCGATCCTTCGCTCCCCTGTCAAGGACCTAGAAGCCCTTCCCCTGTGCACACCTCAGCACCGTGCTCCCACAGGCTGCAGACCCTGAGCGGCATGTCGGCCTCTGATGAGCTGGATGACTCCCAGGTGCGCCAGATGCTCTTTGACCTGGAGTCGGCCTACAACGCCTTCAACCGCTTCCTGCATGCCTGAGGCCTCCCTGTTCCAGTGTCTGGGGAGGAGGGCTCTCAGGTGGGCCCAGTACAGGGCTGCAGGTGCGCTGCATGCCTGACCCCCGGATGGTCTGCATGTGTCCCGCTGTCCATAACAGCTCCATGTGTGTCTGTCCATGGTGTCTCAACCCTGGAGCCTCCTCCCTGCCCTCCCTGGAATAAAGACACTTTCTGACCCCCCTGCTGCTGTGGGCTGTTCTCCCGCAGCTAGGCCTGCCCTGCCTGTTTGCCTTCCCCCTGGGCCTCAGGTGGGATCCTGCCTCACCAGAACACACGGGCCCTGAACACGCAGCCCATTCGTCAGGGTCTGAGCACCAGTTTAGGGCCAGCAGCCTCCCTGGTGGGCTCTGAAGCCTTCACCTGGGCCAGGTAAGGCTTGAATCTGACCACAGAGTAAACTGCCTATCACACCCACCTCCCCACCATTCATCTGAGAACTCTAGGCGCCTGGGGGCCCAGCTGGCTGGCCAGGGAGGCTGCTGTTCTGGCCCACCTCCCCCTCCCTGCCCTGGGGGCACCACAGGCCAGCCAGGGCCTTGTCCTCCCAGTGGCTCACCAGGGCCCCAGTAGATAACAGATGGGGGAGGCAGTTTGTCCTGCCCACGGAAGAGGGTGTCCCTCCCTCGGGAGCAAGGCCGTGTTGGTGCCCCAGGAGCCCTTGGGCCAGTCTTGCCCAGGGGCTGGCGGGGGAAGGTGCAGTCTGCAGGTGAGGACATGGGTGTTCAAAGGCCAAAGCTGGTTACCTGCTCTGCAGGCAGCCGCCGCCCGCAGCGTCACATCAGTTCACATCCTCCTGGGCAGGCAGCAGCATACCGCAAGACCAAGGCTCCAGATTCTAAAATGCATTGTTTCACATCTTCGCAACCGTGGCATGGGATAAGGAACCTGCTAGAGCTCTATCGTAGCATTTCTTTTCCTAGTAGAGTTTCTAGATGTCTGTGGCATGTACCATTTCAGGTGGTGATAAGGTTGGAGGCTGCCAGTGGGGAGGTGCCATTTCACATGGGGTGGTCAAGGACAGCAGAGCAGGCAAGGAAGAGAGGAGTGGGGAGGCCTTGGGTTTGTCCCTGGAGCCCCGGATGCCAGCAGGGGCCTCGGAGCAGAGGTGTGCACGTCCCTTGGGTCTCACAAGGGAAAGCAGAGACAGGTGACTGGTGGAGGGGGGCAGGATCAGCGACAGGTGGAGAGGGGCCCCGGGGTTCTGGGTGTGGACTGTGCTGCGTGTTGCACCCACAGTGTTTGCCCCTGGGCTGAATGCACTGGACGGTGAATACCGTGGCCTAGCACCGTACAGCCCGCTGGGGGAGGTCCTGTTGACATGTGGACACCTGCAGGGAACAGGCTCTGTGAGGGGGTGGCCAGAGTTGTTTGCATAGGCCTGGTCTGACTTGGGCCAGCTGGTCGAGAGGAGTTGTCAGGTGGGTGGCTGGACATCAGAGGCGGGAGTTCTGGAGGGAGGACAAATGCTTGTCATCTCCAGGGCAAAAGACTGCCATCATAGGTTCCAGGAATTCTAGCCAAGAGGCCCAAGGACCGGCACCATCACACTTGCAGGTTGGGAATAGAAAGACCAGCAAAGGAGCCAAAGAAGGGGTGGGTAAGCCCCAGGAAACCCAGAGCGGCCCTAGACAATGGAGGAGCAAGGGTGCCCAGGGCCAGCTGAGATGAGGAAGAGCTCCACCGAGTCTGGCCTATGGGGCTCTCGGGGACCTTGACCAGACTGGAGGCGAGGAGGGGAGGCTTCAGGGGAGCCTAGAAGAGACTGCCAGTACGAGAGACCCCAAATCCTGCTGTCAATGGCAGCTGAAGGGGCAGGGAGGGTTCTTTTGGTCTATTTTTTTAAATTGTAATAAAATGTAACATGAAATTTGCTATTTTAAACACTTTTTTTTGATTTTTTTGTTTTTAAGTCATGTCTACACCCAATGTGGAGCTTGAACTCACAACCCTGAGATCAAGAGCTGCAGGCCCACCAACAGAGATGGCCAAGAGCCCCAACTGTTTTAACCATTTTTTTAAAAAAAGATTTTATTTGACAGATACAGTGAGAGAGCAGGAACACAAGCAGGGGGAGTGGGAGAGGGAGAAGCAGGCTCCCCGAGGAGCAGGGAGCCCGATGTGGGGCCCGATCCCAGGACCCCGGGATCACGACCTGAGCCGAAGGCAGACGCTCAATGACTGAGCCACCCGGGTGCCCTGGTTTAACCATGTTAAAGTGCAGCATTAAGTACATTCACAATGTCATGTGGCTGCCATCACATCCAACTCCAGAGCTCTTTCCATTCTTCCAACAGAAACTGTCCCCAGTAAACACTGACTCCCCATTCCCCCTCCCCCAGCCCCTGGCAACCACCATCCTACTTTCTGCCCCTAGGTTTTGACTAGGTGCCTCATTCAAGTGGAATCATACAGAATTTGTCTTTTTGTGGTTGGTGTATTTCTCAATGTTGTGCATGTGTCAAAATTTCCTTCCTTTTTTTAAGTGCCATGCCTAACATGGAGCTTGAATTCATGACTCTGAGATCAAGAATTATTTTTTTTACCAACTGAGCCAGCCAGGCATCCAGAAATTTCCTTCTTTTTTAAGGCTGAATAATATCCCATTGTATGCAGAGACCATATTTTGTTTATCCATTCATCCTTCAGTGGACACTTGGGATGTTACTGTGCTGTAGAGGTTGTGAATGACGCTGCTGTGGATGAGGCTGTGTTTGGAGACAGGAGTGACTGCAGTGTGCTTGTTGGGTGATAGGTTGATGCAGGAGGGGCCGAGGGACACAGGAGAGGGTGCAACACCACGGAGGAGGCAGTCAGATGTAGGGGAGCTGGTGACGCACTCTCTGGGAGAGGTGGGGGGACAGGAAGCAAAGGACTGGGGGGCCAGCACTGAGGTCACTGAGGTCAAAGGGACTGCTGAGGGGAGTGGAAGCCGCATGCTAGGCCCTCAAGGGCTCAGGCAGTTCTGCCACTCGGCCCAGGGACCCGGGAAGGCCAGGCTGGACGGCTAGTCTAAGATCTTTGCCCAGAAGCTAACAGGCTGGGCAGTGGGTGGCCTGAGGCAGCAGCAAGGTCCAGACTCCGCCCCAGCCAGCCCAGTGGTCCCTGTGCGGTGGGGTAGGAAAGAGGCCAGTTGGGCCTCTAGTCTTCAGAACTGTGCCCGAAACTCTCCAGCTTCCCTCCTTGTTGACTCAGAGCTCCAAGAATCCTCTAAATCCCTGGCAGGCTGTTCCTATCTCCTCTGGCCCAGCTCCCTCTTAGGACCCAGGGACATCAGACTGCCGTGCAGTCCAGCTGTGGCACCGTCTAGCATGTATGTGGGTGAGGTGACCTCAGACCCAGGACGCTGCGCTCAGCATGATGCCCTGCCCTGGGCACCACAGGACTCGGGGACAGAGTCCTTGGGTCTAGGCTCCCGGCAGCCCTGTAGCTTCTCTCCCACCCCAGCCACACCTCCCAGGGCTCAGGGTCAGTGTTCAGCTGCACCAGGTGGGGAAGGGGACGCCCACACACTCCCTCCAGGAGGGGTCGCGCCCACCCTCCCCCCTGCCAACTAGGCAGAGATAAGCCAAGGGGTTCAAAGGCCAGAGAGAGTCAACAGGGAGGGGCAGGTACAGAACTCTGAGTCACAGCCCTCCCTCAAGCTCCTGGGTCTAAAGCTTGGGCTCCTGCCCAGATAGCCTGAGAGACCCTTTGCCTGCGGCAGCAAGCAGAAGGCCCAGGTTCCCCGTTTGTCCTGTGGGGCTTTGGCCATTTTCTCAGGAATTTCCCCTGGGGGGTTTGGAAGGGGAGCTTGACTCAGCCAGCACCTTTTCGGTTCCCTCAGAATCCAATCCCCAACATGGGACACCACAGCCCGGGCCTGGGAGGAGAAGGCCCCACCTCCCCACCCCCAACTGGAGCCTCAAAGGCTAGGGGTGAGGTGCAGGTGTCTAAGCTGCCTGAGCCAAGGAAGCCAAGCAGGGAAGGGGCTGGGAGGGCAGTGGGACAGAGGCGTGTTCAGGGCCTATCAGGCAGAATGTTGGGGATGGGACCTTGTGGGGCTGGGGTGGTATCCCTGCACGTGTGCCCCAGGGCCCCCTTGTTGGCAGCAGCCCCTAGACAGAGGGTCGCCCCTCGGGAGTGGAGAAGCCGGCCCCGCCCCACAGCTCTAGGGAGCCACAGGCGAGCTAGCAGATGCCCAGAATGCCCTTCCAGGAGAAGGCGCCCAGTCCTTGCCCCCCACAGGCAACGGCTCCAACCACGGGGAGGATCTGCTGCTGGAATGGTTAACCTGAGGCACCTCAGGCAGCCAATCACAGAGCCCTGCAGGAAATACCTGGGAGAGGTCCTCTTTGTGCGGGCGGGTCAGAGCCCAGCCCCAGTCCGGCCCTAGGCTGCCGAGCAGCCTCCCCAGAGCACAGAGTGCGCACGGTGAGGGGGGGCTCAGCATGCTGGTCCTGGTCCAACTCAAGCTGGGGCTGCTGCCGGCTTTGCTGGGGGGGACCGCGATGGCAACTCAGCCTCCCCGTCTGCTGACCTTGCTGTCCTCAGGCCAGGGTGCTCTGGATCGTGTGGCACTCAGCAGCCTATTAAATACACTGGCGGACCGTGTGCACTGCGCCAATGGGCCGTGTGGAAAGGTAACTGCCCCACCCGGTGGGTCTCCCAGCCTGGGCCCGCTCCACCCCAGGGCTGGAAGCAAACGGCCCTGGGCAAACTCCAGGAGGCGGGTCAAGGTGAGGCTGGGTGGCCAAGCACCTAGGTCCTGCCTGCGGGCCTGAGCCCACCCTCCTCTGCTCGGAATTCAGGCAGGCCTGTGCTCCCAGGGTAGGGGGCTGTGCTGGGCACGTACAGCTCCAGGATCTCAGGGCAGCCCCCTCCCCTGGCAGCCCCCAGGCCATCTGACTGGCAGTGGTTCCAGGAAGAAGCCACCCTGGGGACAGAGGAACCACTGCCCCACACTCTCTGTGTGCATGTGTAAGAGGGGGGCGCGTGTGAGAGAGCGATGATGCAGGGGTGGGTGAGAGAGGGGGAGGGCAAGACCGGTGTGTGTGGAGCCCAGAGGGAAGCCGGCAGCTTCCTGACCGCAGGCCCCTGGCTCCTGCCCACCTGTCTCTGCCCACAGTGCCCATCTGTGGATGATGCCCTGGCCCTGGGCGGGCCCGAGAAGCCAGGACTCCCTGGGGGGCCAGCCCTAGAACACCGACACATCGCCCGCCTCAGTGCTGCTGCTGCCCTTTACCTCAGCGACCCCAAGGGCACCTGCACAGAGGTCCGGGCTGGCCACTGGGCCACTCGTGCTGACCACCTCTTGGCCCTGCTGGAGGGGCCCAAGGCCCTGACACTAGGCCTGAGCAGGCTGCTGCAAAGGATTCAGGCCCAGGCTGCTGGCTGGCCTGCTGCCCAGGAGGTGAGGGGCTGGGTAAGCTGGCCAGAAGGGTCTAAGAGGATCAGTGGGGAAGGGAGACCACTTAGTGGGCTGGGACTGGCTGCAGTGGGCAGGACATCCCTTGAAGCCTCCTGGGGTACCTGGGGGAGTCTGGGGATGGACTTGGGAAGCTGGGCTAGGCTGATGGATCACAAATGGATGTCCACCACCACTTAGGGCAGGGACTTGGGGAGACCCAGCCGGGGGGGGGTGGGGGGCTCATCAGACAGGGGCTGAGAAGAATCCTGGGGCCACAGGGAGGGATCAGGCCCAGGTCTTAAAGCTGGCAGGAGTAGGTGGTGGTGTTCTGAGAAGGCTGGTCTGCGGCCAGGTTGGGGCAGTGGCACTCAGGGGACACCAGGGGCGATGGCAGAGCTGGAGACCAGGAAGGCCACACTGCAGGCAAGGCTGAGCCCTGGCTCCTCCCCCAGGCCTGTGTGGACCTGCCTCAGCTGCTGGAGGAGGCAGAAGAGGCAGGAGCTCCCAGCAGCCCTGGCCCGGTACTGGCCGCCCTGTTGGACCATGTCAGCAGTGGGTCCTGTTTCCGTGCCCTGCCGACACCCCAGTACTTTGTAGACTTTGTGTTCCAGCAGCACAGCGGCGAGACTCCCAACATCACACTGGCTGGTGAGGCCTCGGCTGGGCCAGAAAGCGGGCAGTGCCCTGAGTGCCCAGCCTCCATGTCCCTGGGGAAGGCAGGCCTGGAGCCCATATAGACTTTGTGATTCTGTCCTCCCTGCCAGAGCTGGAGGCCTTGATGCAGCACCTGGGGATAGGCAGAGTGGCTGAGACACACAGTGACCACAGTCATCTGAGAAACAGGGCCAACCACCAGGGCCGTGTGCCCCTTGCCACCCCGAACAGCAGCTCCAGCCTGTGGGACACAGTGAGCAACCACTGCACCATAGTCCTGGGGAGAGGTGGGGTCCCATGGATCTGCTCAGGTCCCTGAACCCCTGTGCTGCCACCCCCCAGGTATGCCTGAGTGCCGGGGAAGTGATGGCCGTGTATGGGCTGTCTGAGCAGGCTGGGGTGACTCCAGAGTCCTGGGCTCAACTGAGCCCTGCCCTGCTCCAGCAGCAACTGAGTGGGGCCTGCAGCCCCCAGCCCAGGCCCCCCACCCAGGACCAGCTCAGCCAGGCGGAGAGTGAGTGCCTGCTTCCCCGGTAGTGCCTGCCTAGCTGTGCCCGGGGTGCTGGTGGTACAAGGTGGCACCTCACAGGGAGGAGACAATGGCCACAGGGCCAGGGCAGGGGTGGGGAAAGCTGGACCAGGGCTGGCAAGGGAAAGCGGCATGGGAGTAGAGGGGTGGCAGGGAAATGTGGGAGGGCCCAGGTGGGAAGGGAATGGAGCTTTAAGGGTTAGCATAAGCAGAGGTATGGCCCAAATCTGGCCACCTGCATCCCTGGGGAGCTTCTGCTCACTCCTGGACCCCACCTGGACTCCCTCCCCTGGAAGGCAGGGGTCGGAGACTGAGGTTGAGAGAGAGGCTCTCAGCTCATCACCTGGCTTCCTCCCCAGGGTATCTATACGGCTCGTTAGCCACACTGCTCATCTGTCTCTGCGCGATTTTCGGCCTCCTGCTTCTGAGCTGTGCCAGCTACAGCGCGGCCTCCCACTATATCATCCAGACCTTCCTGAGCATGGCCGTGGGCGCACTCACGGGTGATGCTATCCTACACTTGACACCCAAAGTCAGCTTCAGCCTTCCCCTCCCTCCCCAACCAGGAGCTCCCCTGCCCAGTCCCTCCCGGCCCTTCCTCCTGGAGCCCTTCCTGTCCCCCTAACCTCTCTTCCTGGCCCCGGGGGTGGAGAATGAAAGGGTGGGGGAAGCCTTAAGGCACTCTTTTCAGCCCCCTTCTCCCCCCAGGTGCTGGGGCTGCACACCCACAGTGGGGAGGGTCTTGGCCCACAGACCACCTGGCGCCTTGTGGCGGTGTTGGGTGGCCTCTACACCTTCTTCCTGTTTGAGAACATCTTTAATCTCTTGCTGCCCCTGGACCCCGAGGTCAGGTGGGGGCTGGATGTGGTGGGTGGATGGGACAGAGGTGTGGAGGCGTGGCAGGCCCTGAGCCACTGTCCCCACAGGACTCAAAGGCTGGGCCCTGCAGCCACAGCCATGGTGGCCACAGCCATGGAGTGTCCCTGCAGCTGGCGCCCAGTGAGCTCCGGCCACCTAAGCAGTCCTGCGAAGGCTCGCGCACAGACCTGGTGAGGTGGCCCTTGCTCAACGTCCCCATCCCACATGGGGCTCCCCCCCCCCCCCCCCCCCCGCAACCCAAGGACCACTTCCTGCCCCCGCCCCCACCCCAGGATTTTTTGTCTCTGGCCTCTGATGCTGGTCAGGGGACCCAGTTCCTCCTCGCCCCTCCTCACCGCCCTGCCGAGGGGCTCATCCACGTGGACCCCCTCTCCAGGTGGCGGAGGAGAGCCCAGAGCTGCTGAGCTCGGAGCCCCGGAGACTGAGCCCAGGTGAGCCCTGAGGGAAGCCCCAGAAGGACTAGGGGCCACGGATTAGGTGCGGAGCGCCAGCGCGGGCCAGGGGCAAGGGGCCAGGGGCGCCTAGGTGGGGGATAAGGCCGGCGCCGATCCACGTCCACCGCGCCCGCAGAGCTGAGGCTGCTGCCCTACGTGATCACGCTGGGTGACGCCTTGCACAACTTCGCCGACGGGCTGGCTGTGGGCGCCGCCTTCGTGTCCTCCTGGAAGACCGGGCTGGCCACCTCGCTGGCCGTGTTCTGCCACGAGGTGCCACACGAACTAGGTGAGCTGCACGGGCCACCGCCCGACGCAGGTGCTCCCGGGGCGGGGGCGGGGCCTGCCTGGGTGTGGGCGGGGCGCTCGGCCTGACCGCGCCCCACCCGCCCCAGGGGATTTCGCGGCCCTGCTGCACGCGGGGCTGTCGGTGCGCCGGGCGTTGCAGCTGAACTTGGCCTCCGCGCTGACGGCCTTTGCCGGCCTCTACGTGGCGCTCGCTGTCGACGTCGGCGAGGACAGCGAGGCCTGGATCCTGGCGGTGGCCACCGGCCTCTTCCTCTACGTGGCGCTCTGCGACATGGTCAGGGCAGAGGGCTGGAGTCGGCTGCCCTGGGGGTGAGCTGAGCAGGGCCTCGGGGCTGGCCACTGACCCAGTGCCTACCTCTTGTCAGCTCCCGGCCATGCTGCGCGTGCGGGGCCCGCGGCCCTGGCTTCTCTTCCTGCTGCACAACATGGGCCTGCTGGCCGGCTGGGCCGTCCTGCTGCTGCTGGCCCTGTACGAGGACAACATCACCCTCTGATCCGCCCCCCGCCCCCCAGGCCCTGGCTGCTGGCCCTGGGTTCTCTCAGCCCCTTGCACCTGCCAGCCAGTGTGGAACCTGCGGCTCGGTACCCAGAGAGCCCCAGGCCTTTGAGAATCTCCCTCCCACAAGCCCCAGCATCCTGCTTCAATAAAGACATTCTTGTCTTTGGAGCCCAGCTGCTCTCCTTGCTGTTAGGGAAGCGTCTTGCACCAAGAAAGGCGCGGGGCGGGGGGGGGGCAGTCCCTCTCTCTCCCCCTGGAGCTCTGATGAGGAGCCAGGGGAGTTGTGTTAAGGAACCTGCAGGCAGCCAGCCCCAGTCCCTCCTCTGTAAGCTGGAATCCCTGCCTGGGGAGTGGAGTCAGGGAAATAGGGCAGGGTCTGCAGGTAGCAGGTGGGACCTGGTCTCCAATCAGGAATCTGACTTGTTTGCTCCTAGCAGAAAGACCAAAACAGCAGACCCAAATCTGCTCACACAGATGAGGGCTTGTTACTCTCTCATGAAAAACAGGCCTAGAGCCAGTCAGACCAGAGTGTGTGGCAGCCCACGGTCCGTGGGGCCTGGGCCTCCACTGTCCTTGCCAGAAGTGTTCATCCTCAGAGGCCCCTTGCAGTCTCCTGGGGATGTCGCACAGCCCACCACAAACTGGGTGCCTTAAAATGACAAAAATTAATTTTCTCACAGTTCTGGAGGCAGAAGTCTGAAATCAACGTGTTAGTAAGCCGTGTTCCTTCTCAGCTCTGTAGGCAGAATTCGTCACATGAGACTTTACTGGCTGGGCCCAAGTGTTCCGTGTCTTGTGGCAGGAAAAGTCCAGTGTCTCCCTCTGTCTTATGACCTTCTCTCGTGTGTCTCTTCTCATGAGGACACTAGTCCTATTGGATTACCAGTTCACCCTACTCCAGTATGCCCTCATCTTAACTGATACCATCTGTAATGATCCTATTTCCAAATAAAAGTCACATTCCGAGGTACTGGGGGTTAGGTTTCCAACATATCTTTTTGGGGGACACAATTCAATCCATAACACCCTTCATGGTCCAAAATGGCTGCCAGAGCTCCAGCCATTAAATGCACTCTCCAGGGAGCAGAAAAGAGGTAGGAGGAAGGAGCACAAAGAGGAAGGGTTCCAGGGGTTATCAGATTCAGCCTGTCGTTTACCCAATACACAGACACAAAAGTGGGAGAGTGGAAGACAGTCCCATGTTATGCTCCATGGGTCCACTTGTGCTGGAGGGAGGTGGGTGCTGCATGTCAGTAATCTGTGGCAAATTGGGCAGGAAGGGCCATATCTGAGAGCTCCCTGTCCTGACACAGGTAGACAGACGCTCCAGCCTCTCCAAGAGGTATTGATCCTCCAAGAAGCTTCACCAACTCCACAAGAGAGAGGTGTGAGAAGTACCACCTCCCTCCTAAGTCTGGTCTATAACACTGAGCACATAAAGATGGCCTCTTGGCACAGAAGGAAGGTGCTGCCCCAGAGGAATATGAAGAGCATGAGCGTGGCCTGGACTGTAGTGTCCACTAGCCACAGGGCCCAAGCTTCAGGGTATGAGGGAGAACACTGGCTTTTGGGAGGCCAGGAGGAGGGGGAGACTCAGAAGAGGCCCAGGCCCTTCTGGAAGAGGAGCTGAAAGCCCGAGTTGCTAGGGCACGCACAGGCACTCCCCAACCTGCTCCTCCCCAGCCTTGGACCATCTTCTGGCCCATCACTGTCCCTCCCCAGCAACTTGAAGCCCCCGCCTCTGCTGACAGGCCCCCACCTTCATCTCCCATTGAGAGAGCAGATCTGCCAGGCAGGCTCACTGCTGTGTTCCCCCTGCTGACCTGGCAACCTCCTGCCCCTCACCCTATCCACTGCTGTGCTCCCCAGGGCTGTGCTCCTTCAGTGTCTAAAGCCCCCTCACCCTATCCACTGCTGTGCTCCCCAGGGCTGTGCTCCTTCAGTGTCTAAAGCCCTCTCTGCACTGACCACCTCTGTCCTGCAGACAAACTCGTGTTCATTTGTTAGGGCATTGGCCATGTGCCAAGCTCCAGTCCGAGGGTTCTGTGGGCACCGATTTTTTCAATCATCACAGAAGTCCTATGATGGGCGCACCATGACTGTGCCCCTCTGAGAGAGACACCAAGAGTTAGCGTCCTGACTGGGGCCCCAGCTCCGTCCCTGCTGTCTCCTCCAGCCTGTTCTCATAGTCCTGGTTACAGTTTTTCTTACCTTTAAAGGGTTTTGGTGTGGCTCAGGGGTCACACACCTGCCTGGGCATCCAGTGATTCCTTTGACCACTGCCCAAGGGTCCAGACTTGGAGCCTTGTTGCCGACACGAGCAAGTGGATAGAAATGGATGCAACATAAACATGTATTTCTAAGCCATTTTCTTGGGTGTGACTACACTTTCTCTCTTATTTTATTTCTTATGATTCCATTTCTAAGTCCCAGGTCTGTGTGAGGGTACCTACGGCAAAAGTACCTGCCGAGTGAGGAGAGGTCTGTTAGCCGGGCTTGATCCTGGCTCCAATCTTCGAAGTGGACAGCTGTGCCAGGCCTGGGGAGGGCAAAGGGGGCGAGAAGGGCAAAATCGCGGGCCTGGGGCCAGCCCTCACGTCCTAGAGGGATGATGACCCGCAAACCTGCTCCCCACGAAGCTGTCCCGACCCCGGACTCGGATTCGTCGGACAATCCTCCACACTAGCGGCCCTTTTGCCAGGAGCGTCATCTGGCACGTGTCCGCCTCCGGGCGTCCGTTCCCTGCCGGCGCCCGCCAGCATCCCGCACGGCGCCTCGCCCACGCGGGTTTGGAGCGGGAACGACGCCTCTTCTCGCGGCCGAGACCCTCCTTGTGACCCCCCACCCCCACCCCGGGCCGGCGGCCCCCAGCCCAGGCCCGGAGGCCCTAAGCCCCGCACCCCCCCGCCCCGCTCTCCACCCGCTGCCGGGTTCCCTAGGTACGGGGCGCTGGATTTCGCCCGAGCTCGGGATTTCGGGGCTCTGGACGCAGAGCCGCAAGGCCGCCCCGCCACCCCCTGCCACCAGGGGTCGCTGTTGCCTCTTCCCGCCGCCACCACCCAGGCAGCGCTGCGCAGGCGCGGGCGCAGGCGCAGGCGCGGGCGCCCGGAACCCCGGCGCTCAGCTTCCGGGGCCGCCCGGGCCTTGTCCGCCGCCGTCCCGTTCCCCCGTGAGCCGGCTCCAACCGCCAGGTGGGCGGCGGGCGCGCGCACGGCCGGGGAGGGGGCGCCGAGCCGGGGTCGTGCGCGGCGGCCCCGCTCATCCTGTGGCCCTGCGACCCCGCGCAGCTCGGGCTCGGCACCATGTACGCCGTGTACAAGCAGGCGCATCCGCCCACCGGCCTGGAGTTCTCCATGTACTGCAACTTCTTCAACAACAGCGAGCGCAACCTCGTGGTGGCCGGCACCTCGCAGCTCTACGTGTACCGCCTCAACCGCGACGCCGAGGTAGGTGCGAGCCGGGCCCCGGGCCTGTGCGCTCGCCTGGCTGCTCGCCCCGCGCCCGGAGCGTCTTCTGTGCTCGCGCGGCGGGCCGGCGCCGGTGTGTGCGGGGGGGAGAGCGGCGGCGGGGAGCGAAGCCGCAGGAGCGCGAGGCCGAAACTCGGCACCAACTGGAAACGCGGCTGCGCGCGGGCGGGTAGAGCGCAGCACGTGCCGCCGGGCAGACGGAGGCGGGGAGGCGGCGTTTCCCGGTGGGCCCCTCCGCGCGGCCTCTCCGAGGCAGAGCAGCCGTCTGTCGGCGGAACGACGGTCCTGGCGAGAGGCAGCAGGCTGGCCCTCGGGCGGGGCAGACCCCTGACGGGAGGTCACTGGAGCGTGATGAGCCCGTCCACGGCGGAGACACGGGTGTTTTGGTTGCCCGGGGGATGACTGGTCCGGGAAGGCTTCTTGCAAGAGCTGGGCGAGCAAGGCTTGTCCAAGCACCAGGATGGGCGTGGAGGCTGTCGGGGAAGAAGGAGCCGCCTGCGCGCCGGCCAGAAGCGGTTGAGGGCGGAGAGGGCCTGCGGCGTTGGACTGCAGCGGGGGAGGGGTCGCCCCCGGGTTGGAGCAGGGGCTGGTGCCGCCGGCAGACGGGGTCAGAGGGGCACCTACTTCGGGACAGCTGTGTTTGTTTTTGCATTAACTGTGTGGACGGCTGTACGAATAATACACGATAAAGAAAGCAAAACAGGAAAAGTTGGAGTATTTCGGCGAGAGCTTTGTGACTCAGTATGTGTCGTTAAAAAAAATGTTAGTTTAAGCTTTTGTGATAATGGCAGTTTTGAGGTCAGTATTTGGCTTTTGTCAAAATTTCAGTCAAAACTGAAAAAGAGGTCTTGCAAATAAAAATGGGGGTTCCTGGCTGGTTCAGTTGGAAGAGCAGGAGACTCTTGATCTCGGGTTGTGAGCTTGAGCCCCACGTTGGGTGTAGAGATTACTTAAAATGAATGAATGGGTCAGTTTCCGTATTGTATGAGAGCATCTTTGCCGTATGCAGTAAACTGAGACTGGTTTCTGGGTCCTGTCTTCCTGTAAAGTTCCTCCTTCTCTGATACCAGTGAACTTTAAGAGACAGATTGGAGGCTCACCGTCCGCAGTGAACCCTGGCGTTCCCTCCCTCGTTTTCTCCACAGACGTGTGTGTTTGTGCAGAGGCCTCGTGAGCAGTTGCTGGTGAGCATTGCGGGCAGAGAGACCTGCGCTTGCGGTGCCCCTGTTCCCGGGGGTGACAGACCAGACACAGCCAGCCGTGAAGTACCATGGAAACCAGAGCAGAATGGCGGAGTGGGAGCCGGAGTGGTGTTAAATTTGGCCTCCTTGCAAAGTTGAGTTTTGAGCAGGCAAGGACGAGGTGCTGGAGAGAGCCCTGTGGGTGTCAGGTGAAGGTTCCAGGCAGGCGAAGGTGTTAGGGCAGTCGGGGCTGGTGGTCAAGAACCAGCCAAGAGGGGGGCGCCTGGGTGGCTCAGTCGGTGAAGCATCCAGACTCTTGGTTTCCACTCAGGTCATGATCTCAGGGTTGTGAGATGTAGCCCCAC